AACTCAGTTTCAGTCTTTACAGACTAAGATTACACAATTAGAAAATCTAATTTCAGTCTGTATAGGATTAACTCTAGATACAAACATAGATTTTGATGATCTTGAGGTTAAATTTGAATTACTTACACAACGTCTGAAAATAATTAATTCAGACTATACAGATTATGAAAAGAAATTTCTCGAATCAGATCCATCTGAGGATGAAATTAAAAATGTTTTGGATACTTTTAGTAATCAATTAAGGTGGACAGGAGTACAGGCAATTTGCCGTAAAACTCTGTCACAGAGACCTACTGTAACTAGTGGTCAAACACCTGTTACACCTGCAACAACAAGTGTCCCATTACCAAGTTTACCTACCTTGTCATTACCTATTTTCCAAGGTCATAATTATGAAGAATTCATTAGTGGTTTTCAATCCATAGTAAATTCACGAACTGGCATAGATGAGATTGCTAAGTTCAATTATCTTAAATGTCTTGTGAAGGGAGAACCCTATGAACTGATTAAGTCATTTCCGGTGGTTAAAGGCAATTATCAAATAGCCTTACGTGTCTTAGCAGACAATTACTTCGATGCTGACAAGGCCAGAGTTAGACATGCAGTCTTAATATCAAGCTTGAAGCCACCCAAACATTGTTTTTTTCAGACTTACAGGCATTTATAATCACATTAGACAATCTTTGGGTGCTAAATATGATGTAAGGCAATGTGATTGGTTTATCAGTGGTATTGTACAGGATAAGTTGTCACCACAAAGTACTGAACAATTAAACATTATGTTCAATAAACGCTATTTCACTTGTGAAGAAATTAGCAATGGTTTACAAACAATAGTTTCATGCATGCAAGCAACGAGTCAAGATGAAAAAATCTACAAATCCTAAGGATAACAAACCTTCATCTCAGTATAAAAAGAGTATACCTACTCCCACTAAACCACAGAATGGGAAATCCCATATAGGCATTTATCAAGCTGTGAGTACAACAGACAGTAAACAGACTGTCACACATAAACGTGCACCAAAATGTGTACTTTGTGATGGAACACATTGGGCACAGTATTGTAGTCAATACACATCAATGGAGGCATGTAAACAACGTGTTCATCAGCTGAAAAGATGCATCAAGTGTTTAGGTGAACACAAGGGAGGAAAATGCTCACTGAAGAAGTGTTTTAAATGCAAGGGTATGCATCATACAGCATTATGCCCAAATACTTTTGCTGAACAACAGAAGACTTCCACAGAATCAGGAAGTCAATAGGCAACAGCATTAAATGTGATTGATAAGTTTAAAGCAACTGCTCTCCCGATAGCTCGAATTGAGTTATCTAATAAATTACACAAAACCAATGTGCTAACACTGTTTGATCAAGGCTCACAAAGGTCCTTCATAAGAAGAACAGTGTTGCAGAAACTGAATAAACAACCCTATGCCAAAGTACAGTTAGATATAGCTGGTTTTTTCCACAATTCTGGTAAACAGACATGTGACCTAGCCAGAATCACTGTTGGTCTAGGAAACAGGAAAAAGACAGTAGAATCTGTGGTAGTAGATGATTTGCCTAAGTCTGTGCAGATCCAGGGTTTAAAAGAAACAGTTGCAGCACTGAAAGCAGCTTAGGTCAAGTTAGCCTGTCCTGACATACAGACGGACAATATTACTCCAATTGATTTAATCATTGGAAGTGATTATTATCACCAGCGACTACCTCGTCTCATACAGTGAAGTCCACCAGTGACTACCTCGTCTCACACAGTCAGAACCACCAGTGACTACCTCGTCTTACACCGTCACAGCCACCAGTGATTACCTCGTCTCATACAGTGAAGTCCACCAGTGACTACCTCGTCTCATACAGTGAAGTCCACCAGTGACTACCTCGTCTCACACAGTCACAACCAAAACTGACTACCTCGTCTCATACAGTCACAACCACCAGTGACTACCTCGTCTCATACAGTCACAACCACCAGTGACTATATCGTCTCACAGAGACTTCTCATCAATACATCGTGAATCCTGGTACCTATTTATCACGTCCATTGGCACATCAGAATTTCTTCAATTCATTGTATATATTACCTTTGCTTCAATAGATCAATTTTTGAATTTTATTTTTTTTATTTTTTTATTTTTTCTCTTATGTATTCTATATTTTTTTCATAACTCTGAATGGTTCTTTCAAATTCCCTCTGAGTGTCTGAAAAAGCTGTAATACGTTCTCAAAATATTTTAACATTAAATATTTGATTAACAATGCTTCCTGTGACAGTGTGCCAAAGTACATTGCTAATCTAAGTGATTGTTGATGCCTCCAAATTCTGTACTTGAGAAGAATGAAGCCTGCTAGTACAACGATATATCTTTTTCTTCTGTTCATTGTTTACCTTTGTATATAATTATCTTCTGATTTAATATAATCGATGAATTATAAATCTCTCTCTTTTTTTTACTCCCCTTACAGTGTATAGAACAATTGTTGACATGTATAAATTAACATAAGTGATATCAGACTTAGTAGAACTCCATACCGTAAGTGAATTGTTATTTTTTATTAAGCCTAGTTTTTTGCATGAGAAGGTAGTCATGCATATAACATGATACGACCTATTTGCAATATTTTGTAATGGTTTCCATACAACGTCATTGGCACAAATGTGCATGTAGAGTTAATACCTCAGTCTCCAGGTCATAGGCGCTATTTCAGGTCTGACTGATATTGAGTGAAGATCCGTTGCATTAAGACTTGCCATTTTTGTTATTAAAGGAAATGATGGTGATAATGATGGTGATAATGATGGTGATAATGATGTTTCTTTGATTCCCAAGGCTCCCTGAACCCATCAGAAGAATCCGATGCTTGTCCTGCTGTTTTGGAATGTGGTACTGGTGCATGGTATTAGAGTATTGTGTGTGGTACAGGTACATGATGGGTAGTTTAGATACATGGTGTATGGTACCAGTGTAATGTCTGTATTGGTACTAGTGTATTGTGAGTGGTACTGGTGCATGGTATGTTGCATTTGTACATGGTGAGTAGTGTGGCACTAATGGATTGTCTGTTGCACTGGAATATACTGTGTGGTACTGGTGCGTGATGAGCAGTTCATGTCCCTGGAGTATGCTGCTGGGGTATGGTGTGTAGTACTCGTAGTACTGTGTAGTATACTCCTATTCTATGTGATATTTTATGTAGCATATGATTAGTGTTACTGTAGCTTGAAATGAGAATTCATGTTAAAGAATTCAATGTCAGTGATCCATAGTTAATATCCCTTAAAGAGGATTTTAATCCTCTGTAATGGAAGGTTTCTTGTCGTGGTAAAGAGGCTTTTGGTGTGAGGAATTGGACCTTTCGGTCTTTTTCATCTCACTGTACCTAATTACCCCCAATCCCCCCTCCCCTGTCCCATCCTCCCCGTCCCTCTTTTCCGATTCCTCCTTTGTCTAACCCTCTCCTTTCCTGTTTTCAGTCTCTGGGTCCTCACATCAGGCATTCTAGTTTCTAGGTTGGGGAAAGAATATCGTTGTCCATCCCATTCCGTTGAGGTTCTTGTAGGTGCAGTTTGCCGTGGAACCTGGATCAACTGGAGATGTTCCGATCCCTCTCTGGTCTTCCAGGGGGAAGGGCTTATGATGTCTTTTGGATGATGGATGTACCTTCGTAAGCTACCTGTCGGATTCCAGAAAGTGGTGGCCGAAGGAGGTATGCCTTGTGGTGGCTAACCGACCACCCTCTCTTTTGTCCACCGAGGTGGCTCAACAGATGTGAGGCTACTATCCTACATGAACGGTACGGTATGGCATGGGTTTCATGCTGCATTTGTACTACTGGCTGCATAGAGGTCCTCTTGGGCATAGAAGGTTATTGATGACCCTCACATTCCTTCCAGGAGGAGCAACCCCTCCTTCACCCTCCTCCCATTTTTATTTTTATTCCTTTCTTTTCTCGCAACCGTCGGTAATACCATTGGTCCAATATGAATCATAACAAATTATATTCCATCAAGCCAAGTTTAGCTTTCTTTCCTTATTATCATCGATGCCCAGGTTGGGAGTCTGCGCGCTCCTGTCTTCACACTGGGCCCACCTGTCTTACTCAAGGGTATCTCAGGGAGAAGTGCCCTGTTCCACTCTGTGAGAATTATTGGGTTCCTGTTTGTAATATTCTATTATGCTTGACGTCATGTCTTTCAATGAGTATGCAGAATTTATCTCCAACGTCGTCACTGTTCTAACTCTCTTACTTTATCTTCCCTCCTTGCTGACGGCCCAACTTCTGACTTTTTGACAGCATCTGGTTTATTACACAAACTTTGATAATACTTCCTTAGCACTCCTCACAGCCTTTTCTAACTCTACCCCTGTTCTCTCCATCCTTGCTACTCTATGATCCTTCATCTAGCGCTTTTTTTGCTAATAATAATAATAATAATAATAATAATAATAATAATAATAATAATAATGGCAACAAGCTTCAAATGACTTATACCATTAAGAAGTATTTGTCAATTGACAATTTGTACTTAGTATCCAGTAACTAATGTATTTAGTAGCATAGTTCATAGTTCAGCTTTATAACATCTTTATTTAATAACAATAATTGCTCATTTTAATTTCTATTAAGTGGAGGGAGAACTGAGAGTTTTGAAGCAGGTTTCCATGTATCGTGTTGATAATTAGTATCTGAATTAAAATTGGAGCTTTCGTTCTTGTTCATAAGTGATAGCGTGTGTGAATGAGTCACTGTACGGAAGAAAAAGAATTCTCCATTCTGCATGACTGAAATAAGACCAGTGATGCCAGTATACTTGAGGTAGATGCACCTTCGTTACATATGGCAATCTTAAGACTTCAGTTATAGAAAAACACAAATCAATAAACTATCGTTATTTGGATACTCTAGAGAGGAACGTTATAATAATTATGTTCCATATAACTTAAGTATATCTGCAACTGTCCCCAGAAAGCAATATAACCCAAAAAAATATTACTTGGTGTCATTTATGACTTGATGGATATTCTGGAGGAAGAGGTCGTAGGTGAGTTCCTCCCAGGCTTGATGGCGTCCCCAGCCCTCATCTTGCACCTGCCGCACATTGTGATGCTGATCAACGAAAACGGGCATTCCCAAGATGGGAATACCGTGATAGGTGGCCTCCTGGATGCTCAGTAGACCACCATGGGTGATGAAAAGTCGTAGTCGAGGATCCCCTGGATAGGTAAATACTGTTAATAAAAGTCCATGTTTCTCGAAATATGACCTACATGTTACAAACTGAAGCAACTCCATGAGTTGGAATAAAATACACAACAATGTCAATAACATCAAGAAGAGATTTGCTTCAGCTAGGAACCTAGCTGAGAAAATACCTAGATTCCTAGTATTCAGTTATCCCGTGTTACACACACACACACACACACACACACACACACCATAAGACCAGAACGATCCCCTGGTTTATCCAACGGTGTAAGGTGTTGATGCGTGGAGAATTAATGATCTGAAGAGCTCTTTTCTTGCAGTCTTTGATGAAAAAAGAAGGAAAATGTAACTCAGTGAATGTTTGGTGAATGTATGTACATTCCTCGTCAAGAAACTCAGGACTACAAATTCGGTATGCTCTTAGGAAAAACCCGATGATGATGCCTCTTTTGGTCTTGGTATCTTGACTGGAACAGAAGTGTGTGAGATCATTTTTATTGGTGGGTTTCCGATAAACTTGAAATCTTAGGTTGTTGTCTACTTTGTGAATGAGGACGTCGAGGAAAGGTAGCTTGTCATTGGACTCTTCTTCTAGTGTAAACTGGATCGCCGGTTCAACTGCGTTGAGCCTTGCCTGAAGATCCCGTACATCAAAACGTTTTGGAGTTATTACGAGGACATCGTCCACGTAACGTAACCAAGTGACGCTTGAAGGGATGATGTTGGCGAAGTGTTCGGACTCTAGGTGTTCCATGTATAAGTTGGCTAGGACGGTACTTATGGGGGACCCCATTCCCATGCCGTAGGTTTGTTTGTAGAGCTTGTTATTGAAAGAAAAACAGTTGAAATTAACACAGAGTTCAATCAGATCATTAATTCTCCACGCATCAACACCGCTCCCAACAAAGTTATAATTCTTCCCAACAGCCAGGTTGCACTAAACGTCTCAAAATTACTTTCACAAGCTAACACCAGAGTCGCCATCTCTTCTAGCACTTCAATAAAGGATCTAACCAGGACAAAACCCAAGCACCACGAACCAGTCAATGCAGGAGTTTACACTATACCCTGTGGAAGCTGTGACAAGATCTACGTAGGTGAAACAGCAAGAAACCTCGACACCCGCCTTAATGAACACATTTACGCATGTAGGAACGACAACTTAAACAACGCCTGTGTACAACACCGAAATTCCACCAATCATCTCATGAAATTCAGAGACGCCCAATTAGTGATCAAAGAAACTAATTTCCGCAGACGCAAGTGCCTTGAATCAGCACTGATCGCTGTTTCGAATACAATTAAACAAAACAACGGCAGCTTCACCATCTCCGAAGTCTTAGCAAGAATCCTCCTGAAAACAGTAAACCTTGCCATCACATAGTCTCTCCTGTTATACTACACAAAGCACATTACAGAGAGTGAACACGGAAAAAACCTGCCTCTTTCCAGTCTATATTTGTCCAACCTATTTTTATGTTACCCAAGTAATAGCTTTTATATCCTTTTACTCATGTACGAATTAATTGCTCTACCATATTGTATTATTTTTGTTACTACTATTACTACTACCACTAGTGAACATCTAAATGGTACCTCACTAGTATTGCACCTCACTCAGAGCCTTTATATACCCTCTGTGTCCATGTATTGTTTATAATGGCTTGATAAAGCTCCTGGAGAGCGAAACGTTGCCACAATAAATATCACATTAGTTGCACTTGTGTCCTTTTACTTTACATATTGTCGGTAATTCTACCAACTTTATTACAGTCATAGAGTTGTCAGGAAGTGGAATAACCTAGAAAGTGACGTAGTGGAGGCAGGAACGATACATAGTTTTAAGACGAGGTTTGATAAAGCTCATGGAGCAGAGAGAGAGAGAGGACCTAGTAACAATAAATGAAGAGGCGGGGCCACCAGCTATGACTCGACCCCTGCAACCACAAACGGGTGAGTACAAATAGGTGAGTACACACACAAGGAAGATACGCAAGGAGGGAGATGGAGACTGGCAGGAGAATCCAGACACAGGAGGAAGAGCAAATACAGCCTCCCTGAGAACCACCCACAGATTTAGATTTTAGATTTTACCACCGAAGTGGCTAGTTTATTGTGCTCTGGTGGCCTGGTGGTTAACGCTCTCGCTTCACACGGCGAGGGCCTGGGTTCGATTCCCAGCCAGAGTAGAAACATTGGACGTGTTTCTTTCCACCTGTTGTCTATGTTCCCCATCAGTAAAATGGGTACCTGGGTGTTAGTCGACTGGTGTGGGTCGCATCCTGGGACACTGACCTAAGGAGGCCTGGTCACAGACCGGGCCGCGGGGGCGTTGACCCCCGGAACTCTCTCCAGATAAACTCCAGATAAACCCCATATCCATCCTATTGACGGTAGCGGAACTAGGCCTAGGAACTAGGCCCCGAAAAGGGTTAACAGGTGTACATTTGGCTTTATATCTACATATCTACAGTTCACTTATATGTTACAAGCAAATATAGAAAATAGGTTATTATATTGTCTATCTCTGTATTCCTCAATAAGTGGACAATTAAGCACACAGTTTGATCATCATCTGTGTGTCTCCCAAACTGCCAGAAGTACTTGTAACCAAGCCTAAGCCTAGTCACTACAACATCAGTCAGTCTGTTCACATTGCAAGTTGCTCCATAAACATACTTATCTACGTTCATGTTATCAGAGTGCGTTACAGATCTAACAGATCTACTGCATTTCTATAACAAACATTTTCATTATTTACTTCTCTCCTAATATTATTTCTAATGCTAGACACAGATATACCAAAGTTATATTCTACATTCTCCTTCTGGGTGCTTTTCTTGACTAACATATCAACTTTATCATGAAGGAGTAATCCAATGTGTAATGGGATCCACAGCAATTGTACATTAATTCCTTTGTCCCGGATTTTCTTGTCACTTAGTCCATCATTTCGTTTACTGATTTTCCTACCAATTCTATTTCCCACTGAACCTCCTGCAAGAAGTTTCTCATGCCTGTGTAGTCCCCCTTTTATAATTTGGCTTTTCCCATTCTACTCCGGTTACTCTCTTCACTTGTAACTCTACTATGCATACAAAGCTCAGAACCAGGTGATCACTTGCTCCAAGGGGCTTTTGTTATGTAATATCTTCAGTGGGCTTCTCAGGGTACATATGAGGTCCAGTGTTGCTGGCTCATCTTCACCTCTCTCTCTGGTAGTGTCCCTAACACATTGAGGCATGAGGTTTTCCAGTGCCATATCCATCATCTTGCCTCTCCATGTTTCGGGACCCCCATGTGACTCCAGGTTTTCGCAGTCAATCTCCTTGTAATGAAAATCACCCATAACTAGTAACTTTGCTCTATCTGTGTGAGCTCTTCTAGCCACCTCAACTAGTGTGTCCACCATTGCTCTGTTGCTCTATTTATCTTTTTCTCTTGGCCTCCTGCATTTCACTGCAATGCCTACTTTATGTCCCCCAGACTGAATTGTACCTACTGCGTAGTCTCTTTCGCCCATTTCGTCCATTCCTTCCATTTCCTCAAATCCCCATCGGTGTTTAATAAGCAGTGCAACTCCTTACCCTCATCTCCTTTTATCTTTCCTCAGGATCTGATATCCAATTGGGAAGATTACCTCTGTTATCCCAGTGAGTTTCGTTTCCGTGAGTGCTATGATGTCTGGGGACTTCTCATTGATTCTTTCATGATACTCCTCACATTTATTTGTGTCTGGGTTCTCCTGGTCATCTCCATCTTTGCCTCTCTTTCCTCCCTGCGTCTTTGTACAATCTCTTTCAGTTTCTGCCTTTCAACTTGTGTTCTGTCATCATCGAGGTACACCCTCCAGTACGTTGCTATGTCCCTTAGTCGTGCTTTCTCCTGCAGGATCCTGTTTTAAGCCGATTCTGCCTTGAAAATCACTTTGACTGGCCAGTTTTTTCTCTTGCAAACCACCTTATTTTCAGAAAATTTGTCAACTGGGTCATGTCGTCCTCTCCTATTGTTTTAATGATACTTTCAATCACTTTTCTTTCTCCCCTATCTCCTTGATTTATAGGTTTCCCCTTCAGCTTCCTGGAGCTTGTAAACAAAACTGACCTCTCCCTTTTATCCTCCTACTGCATTTCCCTTTGCATTCCCTGAGTCAGTTTAGTTGCCTTCATTGCAGCAATCCTTCCTTCAGTATCTTCTCTGTCTGATGTCCCTGTGCTGTGGTCTGTCATTTTTCCTTCTCAGCTTTTCCTTGGTGCTGCTGTGGTCTGTTAGGGCCTCTGCATATAGCTTAGTTCTTTCATTTTCTTCAGTCTCCTCGTTTGTTCCAGGTGCTTTCCTCGTCTTTTCCCTGGCTCGACAGTGGCCTGATAGGGCCTCCTCATATAGTATAACTCCTTTGGTCCCTACAATCCCCTCATTTGTGACTGATGTAGCAGCTCCCAACATCTTGCCAGCTTCAGACTTTTTAGTTCATCATCTACGCTCTGTATCTTAGCTTCTGCTGTGGCTTGTAGCTCTCATTTGCTGCTCTCTGCAGCTATCTTCTCCTCTATTTTCTTATTAAGCTCTTCTAGCTTCCTTCCCAACTCTTCCCTTTTCTTGAGCTCTGCCACCTAATCTTCCCACCCAGGCTCATCCACCACTTCCCTGGTTCTCCGTCCTGCTCTTTGGAAACCCATTTTTTTTTGTTGCCACGGAAAGAAAAACATAGGTATTTTCATATGGTCGTTTGTGATGTGTGTTCGTGAGTAAGGTGTGCGTGTGTGTGTGTGTGTGTGTGTGTGTGTGTGTGTTTGATGGTGACCCTCACTACCTCCCCACCAACCTCTCCTCACTCACTCATCAATCCTATCTCCACCTTATCTATGTTGTTCTTACTCTAATACTGGTAATAGCTAGCAGGAGTGCGTGACCCGTAGCTTACAGTGTGCAGAGACCAGAATTCTGACACAATATGCAACCATATTAGGTGAGAGCAACTTGTGCTGGCAGTGGGGCGGTGGACAAGTTGCTGGTTGCTGCCTTTCCTTGTCATTCACATAGACCTTCTAAGACTTTTCTCGAAATTCTTCACCCATGATAAGTTATATCCATTTATGATCGTACTCTACCCACTCCTCAAGTGTTTTCAATCTTCACTTTTGGTAAAAATACACTTCACTTTTGGTAAATTACACTTTTTATTTATAATGGCACACAACCTGCTATGACGTCACCACTTCATGTAGGTTTACTGCCTGCCACCTTCCCGAATTATATATATATTTTTATTTTCCTTTTCTTCTTAACTTTTTCACACTCACTGTATGCTACCCCACATTTTGCTTGTGCCCACTTAATCGTGGTTGCAGGGGTCGAGACTCAGCTCTTGGCCCCGTCTCTTCACCGAGTGCTGCTAGGTCCTCTCTCTCCCTGCTCCAACAGCTTTATCATACCTCATCTTAAAGCTATGTATGGTTCCTGCCTCCACTACCTCACTTGCTATGCTATTCCACTTCCTGACTATGACTGAAGAAATACTTCCTAACATTCCTTCGACTCATCTGGGTCTTCAATTTCCAATTGTGACCCCTTGTTTCTGTGTCCCATTTGTGGAACATCCTGTCTATGTCCACCTTGTCTATTCCACGCAGTATTTTGTATGTCGTTATCATGTCGTTATGATGAGTGTGTGTTTGTGTGTGTGTGTGTGTGTGTGTGTGTGTGTGTGTGTGTGTGTTTGTGTGTGTGTGTGTGTGTGTGTGTGTGTGTGTGTGTGTGTGTGTGTGTGTGTGTGTGTGTGTGTGTGTGTGTGTGTGTGTGTGTGGGAAATAAAACAATAAAGGCATATTTTGAATATGTTGATTAATGACAAAGCTTAATGAATTATTCTTAATGTGGAAATATAAACACATATGCAGTATAATGTGATCCTTTATTGACAACGTTTCACCCACACAGTGGGCTTTTTCAAGTCACACACAGATCTACCTGGGGTGGAAGGTACGGGAGTATTTATAGTCATGACTATAAATACTCCGGTACCTTCCAACCCCAGGTAGATCTGTGTGTGACTTGAAAAAGCCCACTGTGTGGGTGAAACGTTGTCAATAAAGGATCACATTATACTGCATATGTGTTTATATTTCCACTGTGTCTGTATTTGATACCATTTATTTCCATCTATTCTTAATGTGAATTAATCTTTTTTAAACTTAAAGTATACAAAAAGAAAACGTTGAATTCATCTGTGCTATGAACTTGATAACTTATTTGTTAATAAGATATTAATGTAACTGAGTGGGTAAACATACCAAGAATATCTTGCTGTGGAAGCCACTTGGCAAGACGCACGTTGGGCGGGAGGTCGTCCATCGTGTCCTGGTCCCACTTCCAGAGGATCCGCTGCTTCAGCGATACAAACACCTTCAACAGCACCAGTCTATACCTGCCATGGTCATGTCATGATGAAAATGATCAGGTATTAGAAGGAAAAAAATAAAATTAGGTAATGAGAAAATTACGCTAAACAAGATAAATGATAAAATGGCATGTATCATGGGAGGATATTTCTTCTAGGTGGGTCAGAGGATGTCATGATGGTGATACAACAAAGTTGATAATGAAGGTGCACTAGCAGTCAAGATAAACAGACACAACGCAGAGGTAATAAAAAAGCATATCCAAATGATAATGACTTTACAGTTATCTATATAATAACTGTAAATAATAAGAAATGCTAAAGTAATAAGTCTAATTCGACACCTGAGGAAGAGTGATTCATACGCATTTAGAAGTTCGTGAAGTATTTACCTCTCCTGCCAACGATCATTCTATTACTCTCATAAGTTATAGAAAAACAAATACTGCCAATGAGTAACTGGTAAAGGCAGCTATTATTTATTAAGAGACACTCGTAATGGCATGTCATACCTGATACACAGCTTAAGGTAGATCATACCAAGAAGCAAATAACTGGAAGTATTTCTACCCTAAACGAACTGAGGAAAGTATCCCATATTTCTTAATTCTTATTTCTTGTATCTCACTTCAAGTGACAGGAATTACTTAGAGTGAGGAATAAGTTTCTAATGAAATTAAATATTAGCATTGAACATTTAATGTGAATAGAAAGAAACATTCATAAGTTATCCCACACAAATTGAAATCTAAATATTTATTTAATAAAAGTAGTGAAGACAGATATACAAACCCAAAAGTAATTCAGTCTTTCCATCAAGAGAGACGAATTTCGAAAAACACAACAATATATTATTCGTGTGATACAGCTCAGAAAATGAATTATCAGCGCTAAAAGGTTAAAGGGAATTCGATGAGGCCATCATAAATTATTCCATGAAAACCAATATTTAAAGTTTCCAAATTTCTTCGATAAATAGTAGACTATATCAGCAGCAAATAAATAAGGCAAAAAATGTGGGTTATGACATTTTATTGGAAAAAAAAAAAAAACGTTTCGCCCACCAGTGACTTGATCAATTCACACAGTACAAGATATGCGTACAGTAGGGCCCCGCTTTTCGGCGTTTCGCTTAATGGTGTTCTGCTAATACGGCGATCTCAAATTATTGCCTAAACTTTGTATACGGCAAATGGTCTTTCAAATACGGCACGGGCCACCCGGTTTGTTTACATTCTCCATGAGTACATCTCTCTATTATGTAATAATAATCACTCTTGGGCACATTAAATGTCTAACTTTACGTCAATATAGACATTTTCATTAATCCATCTATGATATTTTCTTCAAAATTATATAAGAAACACGTTACATAACATATAAATATTTCGTTTATATATTATGAAGGTGTGGTAGCCGGACGGAGAGAAAACATTACGTCACTCCCCTTAATACACAGCGCTGTAGTTTACAATTCTCGGCATGAATTATTCCTTTTCCCTTTGTTTATAATGGCATCTAAAGGTAGTTGTTAGAAACGATTAAACTAAGTGAACATATTATGTCGATGGTAATAATATGGCTCTGGGCCACATTAAATAGGTGTAGCTATGTAGGTATGTGTAGCTATGAAGGTAGGTGTAGCTATGTAGGCAGGTGTAGCTATGTAGGTAGGTGTAGATATGTAGCCCAGGCAGACTACATACATACATTATTATTATTATAACTGATAATTACACATATGTGTACCTGTAGCTAAGTAAACTTACACACTGTGCTGGCATGCAGGTACATATTAAAATCACTAAGAGTGTCTTATTAGTCTTGAAGACGACATATTAATGATAATAATAATAATAACACAATAATAATCACTCTAAGGAACATTAAACATCGTATAAAACGTTAATACAGACATTTTGCTTAATGCATCTAAATACACCTCACAGTAGAATAAATTAACATAAATATGAGATGTGGTAGCTAGGTGACTTGTAGGACTTGTGGTAGCCAGGTGACTTGTAGGACTTGTGGTAGCCAGGTGACTTGTAGGACTTGTGGTAGCCAGGTGACTTGTAGGACTTGTGGTAGCCAGGTGACTTGTAGGACTTGTGGTAGCCAGGTGACTTGTAGGACTTGTGGTAGCCAGGTGACTTGTAGGACTTGTGGTAGCAGGGACTTGTAGGACTTGTGGTAGCCAGGTGACTTGTAGGACTTGTGGTAGCCAGGTGACTTGTAGGACTTGTGGTAGCCAGGTGACTTGTAGGACTTGTGGTAGCCAGGTGACTTGTAGGACTTGTGGTAGCCAGGTGACTTGTAGGACTTGTGGTAGCCAGGTGACTTGTAGGACTTGTGGTAGCCAGGTGACTTGTAGGACTTGCGGTAGCCAGGTGACTTGTAGGACTTGTGGTAGCCAGGTGACTTGTAGGACTTGCGGTAGCCAGGTGACTTGTAGGACTTGTGGTAGCTAGGTGACTTGTAGGACTTGTGGTAGCCAGGTGACTTGTAGGACTTGTGGTAGCCAGGCGACTTGTAGGACTTGTGGTAGCCAGGTGACTTGTAGGACTTGTGGGAGCCAGGTGACTTGTAGGACTTGTGGGAGCCAGGTGACTTGTAGGACTTGTGGGAGCCAGGTGACTTGTAGGACTTGTGGTAGCTAGGTGGCTTGTAGGACTTGTGGTAGCCAGGCGACTTGTAGGACTTGTGGTAGCCAGGCGAGTTGTAGGACTTGTGGTATCCAGGTGATTTGTAGGACTTGTGGTAGCCAGGTGACTTGTAGGACTTGTGGTAGCCAGGTGACTTGTAGGACTTGTGGTAGCCAGGCGAGTTGTAGGACTTGTGGTAGCCAGGTGACTTGTAGGACTTGTGGTAGCCAGGTGACTTGTAGGACTTGTGGTAGCCAGGTGACTTGTATGACTTGTGGTAGCTAGGTGACTTGTAGGACTTGTGGTAGCCAGGCGACTTGTAGGACTTGTGGTAGCCAGGCGACTTGTAGGACTTGTGGTAGCCAGATGACTTGTAGGACTTGTGGTAGCCAGGTGACTTGTAGGACTTGTGGTAGCCAGGTGACTTGTAGGACTTGTGTTAGCCAGGTGACTTGTAGGGCTTGTGGTAGCTAGGTGACTTGTAGGACTTGTGGTAGCTAGGTGACTTGTAGGACTTGTGGTAGCCAGGTGACTTGTAGGGGCTTGTGGTGCCAGGTGACTTTTAGGACTTGTGGTAGCCAGGCGACTTGTAGAACTTGTAGTAGCCAGGCAACTTGTAGGACTTGTGGTAGCCAGGCAACTTGTAGGACTTGTGGTAGCCAGGCGACTTGTAGGACTTGTGGTAGCCAGGCAACTTGTAGGACTTGTGGTAGCCAGGCTACTTATAGGACTTGTGGTTGCCAGGCGACTTGTAGTACTTGTGGTAGCCAGGCTACTTATAGGACTTGTGGTGGCCAGGCGACTTGTAGGACTTGTGGTAGCCAGGCTACTTATAGGACTTGTGGTGGCCAGGCGACTTGTAGGACTTGTGGTAGCCAGGCTACTTGTAGGACTTGTGGTGGCCAGGCGACTTGTAGGACTTGTGGTAGCCAGGCTACTTACAGGACTTGTGGTGGCCAGGCGACTTGTTTGGACTTGTGATAGCCAGGCACTTATAGGACTTGTGGTGGCCAGGTGACTTGTAGGACTTGTGGTGGCAGGCGACTTGTGGTAGCCAGGCAACTTGTAGGACTTGTGGTAGCCAGGTGACTTGTAGGACTTGTGGTGGCCAGGCAACTTGTAGGACTTGTGGTAGCCAGGCTACTTGTAGGACTTGTGGTAGCCAGGCTACTTATAGGATTGTGGTGCCAGGTGACTTGCAGGACTTGTGGTGGCCAGGCGACTTGTGGTAGCCAGGCAACTTGTAGGACTTGTGGTAGCCAGGTGACTTGTAGGACTTGTGGTGGCCAGGCAACTTGTAGGACTTGTGGTAGCCAGGCAACTTGTGGTAGCCAGGCAACTTGTGGTAACCAGGCAACTTGTAGGACTTGTGGTAGCCAGCAATTGTATGACTTGTGGTAGCCAGGCAACTTGTAGGACTTGTGGTAGCCAGGCAATTGTGGTAGCCAGGCAACTTGTAGGACTTGTGGTAGCCAGGCAACTTGTGGTAGCCAGGCAACTTGTAGGACTTGCGGTAACCAGGGGAAACTTGTAGGACTTGTGGTAGCCAGGCAACTTGTGGTAGCCCAGGCGACTTGTGGACTTGTGGTAGCCAGGCAACTTGTGGGAGCCAGGCGACTTGTAGGACTTGTGGTAGCCCCGGCGATTGTAGGATTGTGGTAGCAAAGGGAAATTGTGGTAGCCAGGCGACTTGTAGGACTTGTGGTTTGCCAGGACAACTTGTAGGACTTGTGGTAGCCAGGCAACTTGTAGGACTTGTGGTAGCCCGGCGACTTGTAGTACTTGTGGTAGCCAGGCAAAATTGTAGGACTTGTGGTAGCAGGCAACTTGTAGGACTTGTGGTAGCAGGCAAAATTGTAGGACTTTTGGTAGCCAGGCAACTTTTTGGTAGCCAGGCAACTTGTGGTAGCCAGGCAACTTGTAGGACTTGTGGTAGCCAGGCAACTTGTAGGACTTGTGGTAGCCAGGCTACTTATAGGACTTGTGGTTGCCAGGCGACTTGTAGTACTTGTGGTAGCCAGGCTACTTATAGGACTTGTGGTGGCCAGGCGACTTGTAGGACTTGTGGTAGCCAGGCTACTTATAGGACTTGTGGTGGCCAGGCGACTTGTAAAGGGCTTGTGGTGCCAGGCTACTTGTAGGACTTGTGGTGGCCAGGCGACTTGTAGGACTTGTGGTAGCCAGGCTACTTACAGGACTTGTGGTAGCCAGGTGACTTGTAGGACTTGCGGTAGCCAGGTGACTTGTAGGACTTGTGGTAGCCAGGTGACTTGTAGGACTTGTGGTAGCCAGGTGACTTGTAGGACTTGTGGTAGCTAGGTGGCTTGTAGGACTTGTGGTAGCCAGGCGACTTGTAGGACTTGTGGTAGCCAGGCG